CTTAGCTAGAGAAGAGTTTTGAAAGTGTTAAGTGTAGTTTTCCATTCTCTGTAATATACATGAAGTATGCTGAAAGGGTATTGGAATAGGTGTTGAGTATACTTGCTACATTAATAATGAAATGAAAATAAAAAAGCAGAAACAAAACAAAACAAACCTATTGCTATCTTGTCCATTCTAACCCATAGTGACCCAATAGGACCCCATAGGCTTTCTAAGGTTATAAATCTTTATGGAAGCAAACTGCCACATCTTTCTCAGCGCAGCTGGTGGGTTTTAGCAGCAGTTAACTGTTCTGCCACCAGGGTTCCTAAAAATGACAATTTTTTGTTGTTAAGTGCTGTTGAGTCGTTTCCAACTCATAGTGACCCTATATTAAGTTTTGGAGGAGTGACTGGTAAATTTGCACGGCCAACCTTGTGGTTCAAACCACTGTTATTGTCCAGTGCTTATCCTAAAGCTCCACAATACATATACCCATTGATCTTACAATTCTACTACTAGAATTTATTTTGGAAAATGACAATATGGTGTCAGTTCACCAATATATCAGAAATTTGATAGCTTCTCTGTTAACAATATGAGAAAATGTTGTTGTTGTTATGTGCCGTGGAGTCGCTTCCGACTCATAGCGACCCTGTACAGGGTTTCCAAGGTTGTAAATCTTTACGGGAGCAGAATGTCTCATCTTTCTCCCACGGAACAGCTGGCAGTTTTGAACTGCTGACTTTGAGGTTCGCAGCCCGATTCGTAACCACTAAACTACCAGAGCTCCTTAACAAAGAAGCTATCAAACTTCTGATATATTGGTGAACTGACAATATGAACTGACACCATATTGTCATTCATAAATTGCTGGTAGGGGTATAAATGAATCAAACATAGATATGAGGACAGGTTGGTGGTAGCTATCCAAATGTACAAATATATGTATCCACTGATGTAACGATTCCACTTATGGAATTTGTTTCACATATCTATATAACCCAGGGTTGACTCTTAGACCATGCTCCTCATTCATAGCTACTACCAGCTATCAGTGGAGGCTTGTATATGTCTGTGATGGTCAACAGATTTCAGTGAAGCTTCAAATTAAAATGGACAGGAAGTAAGGCCTGGCCACCCATTCTGAAATTCAGCCAATTAAAACTCTTTGTGGATCATGACAGTCTGATGGTCAACAATTATGTGGGTGGTGCAGGACTGGGCAACAGTTCATTTTGTTTGTTAATGGGGTTGCCATGAGGTAGAGGCCAATTAGAAGGCAGCTAACAGTAACAACTGGTGTGGCACTGTGGGTTAATGCGCCACACTGCAAAGCCTTTTGAACTGCAAGGTCGGTGGTTTAAGCTCACCAGCTGCTCTTTGGAAACCCTAGACAGGGTCCCTATGGGTCGGAATCAACTCGACGGCACTTAACAAAAACAACAACAATGGTAACAACATAATTTTTTGAAACAAAATACATGTTGATCATTAGGGAACTGAATAAATTATGATATATTCTTACATGTAAGGAGAAATTCTGCAGCCACTTAAAGAATATAAAGGTCACCTTTTGTGTACTAATTTGGAAAGATACAGATAAAAATAAGTGAAAAAAGCATGTTAGGATAGAAGGTATGACATTCTTTGTGAGGGAGAGACAGACAAAATGACTGTGTGAGGGAGATCAGGAAATGACGTTAGGAACCATGAAATTAATCTAGTAAACATTATGTACTGGATAGTCAAGAAATTGTTAAGTACCATAGAGGCAATTCCAACTCATATTGACCCTGAATAGGTTATCTGAGAAGCAGCTGGTGACCTTGAACTGCTGACCTTGTGGTTCAAACCAATCTTGCAGTCCAGCACGTGGATTTGTAGATGATTGCAGGGCATGACTAAAAAGTGCTGTTTTTGTGTTAATGTACAGTATGATACCACTTGAATTTTATCTTATCTGCCTTCATTGTATGCTAGAAACAAGAGTTTAGTCCCTTGCCTGATAAGTCATTAACAAAAATGTTTTTCCAGTCATTGGATCCCGGTTTACTCTTTTGGCAAAATCTTTTGATGCACATAAGCATCTAATTTTTAGGAGTCCCAGTCATCTGTTTTGTCTTCTGCTGTTGTATGAGTTTTTAGTAATGTTTGATAGTGTATTTACACCATGTATTAGAGCCCCTAAGTTTGTCCCTATTTTTCCATTTATGATCTTTATATTCTAGGTCTTATATTTAGGTCTTTAATCCACGTTGAGGTTGTTTTTGTATATGGTGTGAAATATAGGTTTCATATCATTCTTCTGCAAATGGATTTCCAGTTTTGCCACCACCATTTGTTGAAGACACTTCCCCATTTCATGTGTTCTAGCCCTTTGTCAGTGACCACTGCCTGTAAGGGGATGAATTTACTTCTGGGTTCCTAATTCTGTTCTATTGATCTGTGTATTTTTCATTGTACCAATACCAGGCTGTTTTTATGATCAAGGAGTGAGAGGCGTCCAACTTTGTTCTTCTTAAGCATTGTTTTGCTTCTGCAAGGTCTCTTTCCTTTACTTATAAAGTTAGTGATGATGTTTTCATATTTTTAAAGAATGATGTTAAAATCTGGATTGAGATTGCATTTTATCTGTAGGTTGCTTTGGACAATGTTGACAGTTCCACAATGTGAATTCTTCCTGTATATGAGCATGTTATATTATTCCATTTTTGTAAGTCTTTCCTGGTTTCTTGTTTTAGCGTTCTGTAGTTTTCTTTGTATAGGTTTTTGGTTTCTCTAGTAGGATTTCTTCCTAAGTATTTCATATTTTGGGTGACTATTGTAATTGTATTGTTTTTCTAATTTCCTTTTAGAACTGTCTTCATTAATGTATAGGAATCCAACTGATCTTTGTATATTGGTCTTGTACCGTACTATCTTTCTGAATCTTTCAATAAGATTCAGTATATTTTTTGAGGAGTCTTTGGGATTTTCCATGTATAGGATCATATCTCTGCAAATTTAGAGTTTTTCGTCTTTGCTGCGAATTTCAGTATCTTTAATTTCCTTTTCTTACCTTATAGCTCTGGCTAAGACTTCCAACACAGTATTGGATAAGAGTGGTGATAAAGGACACCCTCATCTGGTTCCTGTTCACAAAGAAAATGCTTTCAGTTTCTCTCCATTGAGGGCAATGTTTACTGTTGGTTTTGTATATATGCTCTTAATTATGTTGAAACACAGACACAGGTATGATTCTGCAATGCTGATTCTTGTCTTTGAATCCACTCTAAAAAGCTCAGTCCGTTCACTGGCTCATATCACTAATTTTTTTGCCATGTCTGCTCAGCTCTCTCTTCTAGTAAACTTTCAGGCTACTTCTCTATCCATTCATCTGAAGCTCAGAGTTCTAGGACTAGCATCTGCATCTGTTTTATTTGGTTATCTGTACCTTTTTTGTAGAGGGTTTGAACAGGCTTTCAGCCTAGTTTACCATCTTTTTGCTTCTCCCAATACTTGTTAAATATTGATGAAAAATGTGTACACATAAATATGGTTACAGTAATCCTAGGATGTTCATTTAAATTAGGTCATATCACTTTCTTTTATCTTTGAACTAAGTTTATATCCTTTGGCTGAAAATTCTAAGCTGGCTTAGTGTTTCTTCGTAGTTTATTCCCCCAGGTGAAAATAAAAATATCAGACTCAAACCATATTCTTCACTTTCAGTTACATTGTAGGTTCAGGCTTTTGTACCTTGTGTAGCGTAACTTGGTATCCAGGTGGCGCCGTAGAATCAGCACTGGACTGTGAATTACAAGGACGGCTGTTCAAACCCACTAGCTGCTGCTGTTGTTGTTGTTGAATGCTGTTAGAGTTGGTTCCAACTCAAAGCGAACCTGTATGGGGTTTCCAATGAGCAGCTGGTGGGTTTAAACTGCTGGCATTGTGGTTCACAGTCCAGTTGTGATCCTACAGAGCCACACCAGGAGTACATATAATTACAAATATTTATGTTTTATAATTATGAATTACTATAATTATGAACATTCTTGTTCTTCCCTAGATATTCAAGATCAAAGCAGTACAACTGGCTGAGAAACTCCTTCCTGCCTTTAACACACCTACTGGAATTCCCTGGGCAATGGTGAATCTAAAAAGGTAAATTGCATTTTATGTGGGTATTCCTATTCGAGAAGAAATAGATTAACTGCTTCTTGACATTTTTATCATTAGAAATTTCTAATAAGTTCTCCATATTATATATTTTTTTGGAACTCTGGTGTGGAGCTGCGGGTTAAAGTGCTGGATTCCAAGGTTGATTTGAACTGCAGGGTCAGTGGTTCAAGCTCACCAGCCACTCTTTGGAAGCCTTATACAGAGTTGCTATGAGTTGCAACTGACCCAACAGCACTTAACAGCAACAGCAACAATTATACTTTTTAGACCTAAATTGTTCCTTTCCGCATATATTCAGAAACAGGTTTCTTTAAACTATTTTCTGATTTTTGAAAGTATGTCCTTTACTTTTAACCTTTCCATCAATTATGTCTCTAAGCTTAGATTTCTCTTCTTTACCTGTGTGGTTTTAAAATGTCTTTTTTTTTTTTTTATTTGCTTATTCATTTCCACTTAGTGCTATATTGGGTTTAAAGCACTTTTTTATTTTTTGTCTTTAACACCTTCTGCTGATCTTTCTATATCAAAATAGAAAACAGTATGCCTAAAAATCAGGATTCTCTATTGCTTAGTATTGTATTAGTGATAAAGGAAGACAAATTTCAGGATGTTGACAGTGCAGTGCTTATGATAGAACCTACACATTGAAATTCAAAGTGAACTTTAAAAATAATACTTTGCCATCTATTTCAGTCTAATAAAAACTTTAACACTTCTCACTTAGAAATAAATGAAATATTTTCTTTGGACAACTTTAGAAATCATTCATAGGTACATGCTTAAAATTTCAATACTGCCAAACATTTTAACTCACATTTAAATAATTTATGCTTACTGAAATTGTTGCTGCTCATTTCTTCCTATAAGTTTAGTATTCATTTTAGTAGTGGCACTTGAAAAGTACATGAAACTTTGTTATTCTCCTCACAGATTCTTTGAATCAAAGTTCTCCTTGAATCACAAAGTTGGAACACTTTTTTTGCTGCCAAAGATAAGATTCTGTGACAACTATTTTTTTTTTAAAAAACATCAAAACAATATATTTTTGATAGTTCTTTCAAATGGACAACGTTATAATAGAGTTAGTTTACATTGAGAAGTCAACATTTATTATAGAACATTAAATCTAACTTTACTATTCTCTTATGTACTGCAGTAATGATGGAGGTGTGCTGTAGAGTCGGTTCTGACACATAGCGACCCTGCATAGGTTTTCTGAGACTGTAAATCATAACAGGAGCAGAAAGTCTCATCTTTATCTTGCGGAACAGCTGGTAGTTTCGAACTGCTGACCTTGAAGTTATTAACAGCCCAATTTGTAACCACTATGTTACCAGAGCTCCTTCTTATGTATTGTGTGTAATGTAAATGATGTCCAGTGAGCGAAAGTGCTTGCTGGAGTTTCAGAGTAACCTTCACAAAAACACATGACCAAGCGATGTCCACATAAATGTTCATTTTAAGAAACTATAGCTCATGTCACTGTATGTAATTAAAACTTAATTCTGATATGAAGAAAGCCTGGGGAACATATTTTTTTGTTTTGTCTAAATACAGTAAAAGAACTGAAAATGCAACTTAACATTGCAAGACTTCAAATTTAGTTGGTGATTAAAATAGAAAGGATTTCAAGGACTGTGCCCCAAGTCTTTTGTTTCATTTTCATGCATCTTCTTTTTTTTTTTTTTTTTTAATGTTTTATTGTGAATTATGTGATAGTTCACATGGGAGAACATGAGCTTTACATTCATCCTATCTTATATTATTTCATTGCCATGGTTACAATCCCTCTACGCATCATCAACCAACCAAAGGGTATACTCTGCAAGTCTGCCCCCCGGTTGTAGCACATAGCCCCTCTCCCTCTCTGGGTCTAGAGTCCCCAGCCGCTCCATCTCACCATGTCATCGTCTCTGCCTCCATTACTGGCGTCACTGTTTCTCTGGGTAGGGTCCTGCACTCTGCTCGTCTCCCATTATGGTCCCAGGGTCCTCCGTTCCTGGACTGCAAAGTCAATCACTCCCCTCTTTTTGCTGCAAAACGTCTACCTTTACCTTTCCAACCCTCACAGTCAGTCCTGGTAACAATTATTTACTATTGTATCACATGAGTGCTATCCATATCTCCTTTCATCAGCCCCGCCCAGACAGATTGGGTACTACTCAGTGGAGATACTACCTTCCTCTGTGCCCTCTGGATCTAGGCTCCTTCTTGAAAGCTCGTAAGCCTTTGTAGCGCCTCTCATTTTGGGTAGCCACTGTCCAAGTTGCCCATCCCTGCCTACTCTGTGTATGGAGGAGAGTGGGAGTGATCCTCGCTGTAAAGATGTGTTCCCTCTTTTGAGCTACTGCATCCATAGGTGTAGGTCAGGTTCATCAAATTGTATCAGATTACTCTTTTTTTCCTCTTCTTTCTTCTAGTTGATTTCTGATCATCCAGTCATTGAAGCCAGGTCAAGTGGGTATTATCTGCAAGTGTGGGTGTTCTTGTGCATATGCCCTTTCTTCTTATCAGCTGGATGCTTCACTGTCCACTCTAGTCCTCTTTGGCTATGTCACTCACTCTGGGCCCAAGAGTCCTCAGGTCAATGCCAAACTGCAGGCCAACCAAGTCTCCACCCAGGTTCACAGGAGTCTATTGAATGTTGTAGGACTTAGCTCGCAGTTTCATTGCTGTTTTTCCCTCACTTCCCCTTATTGGTGATGAATGTGGTCACCAATCAGAGCGCATGCTTGCTCGTGTATTCCCATTGCGTTTTAGTCTTGGAAGGGGGTTTGCCCTGAGGGGATCCAACCACTTGCCTTGTTGTCTCCTGGGTGAGCAACTTGCTTGTTCTTGTAGTAATCAGTCGGAACTGCTGTTACTGGTTGTTTTTTTTTTTTTGTATTTTTCCTGTCAGTTTTTCTTTCAAGAAGTATCTTCTGTTCTTCTAGCCACTCCAGGTTGGTCTGCTTGTCCTTTCCAGTGGAAATTTCCCACCTCAGAAGATTCTGGGTGCAGTTTAGGATTCTACCTATGGTCTTACGTAATGCAGAGGGTCCCCAGGAAGCCTCCTTCAGTGGGCACGCTGTAGACCCATTTTTGGTATTCCAGTCAGTTATAGGCAGAAGATGGACTTACAAGCTTTCTATGGTGATATTTCTGGCTATTCCTTTCTCTTGCCCTCAAGTGTTTATTTTGTAATGGTATGCAAGGGAAGCCAAGATTCAAAAGACAGCCAAGCATCTTAACATTATTTCCCCCATTTGCCCATTCCAGCCATGTCTCAATCCCTGTATCCCTGAGCCCTGCTGTTCCAAGGTTGTGCGTACATCATTATTTACCTCTTTCCCACTTAGCCCATGCAAACCTGCCTAACTGTTTTCCCATCCACCTTGTTCTTCCATTCCCCTCCCCATTCTTGTGTATTGCCCCCCTCCCTAGCACCCAAACTGTCCTGTGTCTATTCCCTACCCCGTGCTCCACCTTCCCCTTCCTCCCCTCACTCCATCCCCCACATCCTGATAACCAGCAAAGAATCCCCTCCACCCCTTTAGTATGGGTCGTTTTCTTAGTGTTTTACATTAGTGGTCCTATGTAGTATTTCTCCTTTTGTGACTGACTAATTTCACTCAACATAATGTCCTCATGTTTCATCCATGTTATGCGGTGGTTTGCAGCTTCCTTGTTATTCTTCAAGGCAGCATAATATTCCGTTGTGTGTATGTGCCACAGTTTGTTTATCTATTCTTCATTTGATGGGCACTTTGGCTGTCTTCATCTTTTTGCTATTATAAATAGTGCTGCTATGAACATTGGTGTGCATATATATCTACTCGTGTTATGGCTCGTATTTCTTGTGGGTAAATACCAAGTAAAGGAATTACTGGATCATAAGGTATTTCTATTTACAACCTTCTGAGGAAGCGCCATACTGCTTTCCAGAGAGGTTGGACCATTTTGCAATCTCAGCAGTCTCTCCACATCCCTGTCAGCATTTATTGTCCTCTACTTTTTTGATCTTTGCTGTTATTGCTGATGTGAGATGATATCTCATTGTTGTTTTGATTCGCATCTCTCTGGTGGCTAGTGATCGTGAACATTTCTTCATGTGTTTGTTGATAAAGCAGCTTCTTTGTACATACCCATACAAATACATACTATATTTCCCTTCACATATCATATGTTTAGCTTTTTATTTATTTATTTTTTAGCATTGTCTGTGGCTTGGGTCTGCTTGTTTTCACCACATAGACTGTCCTCCAGTCCTGCTGCTTGTTGCCAGTGTCAACAACATAACATTGCTCTGCTGTCAGTTATCCTCTGTAGGAGCGAGCGTAAGGTACACAGAAATAAAGCATGTAGATTCGGGCCTTCAAAATGTTGGTGGAAAGATGGAATTAAAAGGTAATTGAATTTTTCCGCAGTCATTTTGAAGCCTCCACATACTGAGTGGAACTTTTTAATGTTTGTTTCTATGCTTGTTTTTCTGTTGAGGTGTTCATGTTTTTTGTTTTGACTTTTGTGTTCAGTGCTTGTTTTTCTACAGCTTGGTTTTCCATGAGGAAAATATTCTTAGAAATGCTCATAGAAATGCTCTTACAGGCCATCTGATAAATTCTAAAGCAGTCTTTGTGATAACTGCATAGTGGTATTAGAGTTATCTGACTTCCTGAAACAAAGCAGGGAATATTCTTTCTTCCTTTGGTTCATGAATGAATTTTTGTAACATTGTTAAATCTTCCTTAAATGTTTGATAGATTCACTTATTAAATTATCTGAGCCCCAAATGTTCTTTGTTGTAAGGCTTTTGATAATCAATTAATATTTTCTAATACATGGGGCTTTTTTAAAGTTTGTATAAAAATTCCATTATCTATTAATTCCTTGTTTTTCATGAACATTCAAATTTTAAATTATACTTTGTTCCAGTTTGGCAAATTGTATATTTAAGCAACTTTTGACTCTATCAGTGATATCAAATTTGGTATAAAGTTATTTTA